CGCGCGGGGGAGCCCCCCCCCCCCCCCCCCCCACAAGAAACTGCCAGGATCGTTTTAGGAAGATGAAATGTCCCTTCCACATTTGGAAACTGGCTGAATCCCAGCAGAGATTCTGGTGGAAAGTGCTGAGTGGTCTTTCATAGCCGCAAACAGCCTGGACAACTGTTTCCAATCGCACCCAGGAGAAAGTGAGGCATTTGTTCCATATTAACTTCTTCAAGACGGGGGGACACAGCCTCATCCTGCACCCTCAAAGCCACCAGCTTCTTCCCCACGCTTTCTCCTGCAGGTTGCAACCAATCCAGCTACAGCCTGGCCCTCTCCAGGGTGGTACAACCGCTCTGCAAAAAGCAGACCAGGGCGATAATTGGTGTCTCTCCCCTGCCAGGCTCATGCCAGATGAGATGATTAATGAGGTCACGCTGAAAAACGATGACAAAAATAACTGTTCGGTGAATCAGTAGTTTTCGTTGCAAATAAGATTAAAAAATAAATAAGTGCTGGGCTCTGCTGCCGAAGCACTGGCAGGGGGTGGGAGAACAGGCTAAAACACTGCCTGCTCGCTGCCATCAGTACAACTCGATAGAGATTTGCCTTTTCTAATGCCAGCTATGATCTAACTGCAAGTCACCAAAAAAAAAGGGAAAAGGGGAAAAAGGAGAAAAGGAAAAAAAGGAAAAAAAGGAAAAAAAGGAAAAAAGGGAAAAAAGGGAAAAAAGGGAAAAAAGGGAAAAAAAGGAAAAAAGGAAAAGGAAAAGGAAAAGGAAAAGGAAAAGGAAAAGGAAAAGGAAAAGGAAAAGGAAAAGGAAAAGGAAAAGGAAAAGGAAAAGGAAAAGGGAAAGGGAAAGGGAAAGGAAAAGGAAAAAAGTGGAAGGAAAAAGGAAAAGGAAAAGGGAAGGGGAAAGGGAAAGGGAAAGGGAAAGGGAAAGGGAAAAAGGCTGGCTGGCTTCCCACCCCTGCCTGCTGCTTGGCCCACCACCTTGCAGAGAGGAACAAAAAGACTCTTGACATCCTTTTTTGAAGCAAGATGTGGGCATCCTTCTGCCTCCGAGGAAGGAACAAGCTGCCTTGCTCGGGGCAGAGGGATCAGAATGAAGCCTGAGGAGCCCTGGAAGGGGAGGGGGTCTCCCTCGCTGCCTCAGAGGGGAAAGTGGGGTCCCCTGGAAGGGGTGTGGGCTGGAGCACTCTGCTTCTGGAGGTGGGGAGGGGACCAGCTCAGCACATCCTGCTCCCGGGGAGGCCGTCAGACGACAGGAGGGAAGGAGAGGAGCGCGCGGTGCTCACTGCCTCGTGCTCTAATGGGAAACAGATTCCTGCTTCTGTCATTTTCCCACAAGAAACCACGGAGGCTGCGAGTTCCACAAACCCACAGCTCGGCTGATCCGCCTTCTATCGCCAGGGAAATCGCCTCCTGGAACTGCCTCATTCCTGTTTATCCCAATGGATTAATACAATAAATACATGGAATAAAGGGGGCCGGGAGCAGAGCAACGTGGGGCAGCAGCTGGGGAACAGCTTGGCCGGCTCATTCCCTTCTGAGGTCTCATGATTTCCTTGCACTGCCGTCCATCAAAGCCCTGCACGCAACGCCTGGTCACTCAGAGCACCAAGTGACCGGTCCCCAACCCGCGGGAAGGGACAGACTCCTCTTCCTCGTGTTTGCAATCGCAGGATAAATCCCAGTGTGAAGGGAACGGGGCAAGGATACAAGTTTGGGAAGAAGGGGCTGTGAGACCTTCAAAATCAAAGTCTACATCACCAGCAGCTGTTCCCTTCACATGTGCTTTCTGGGCTGTGTTTATGAAGAGGCCACCTCCAACATCTGCCTCTGGGAGAGCTGACAAGAGCTGTCAGGGCCCTGCAAGCTCTCCTGGTCATCCTCCCTCCGAGACGGCTGGTGGCAGAAAGGGCACTGAGAGGGGTGGATGGAATCAAAGGCTGACACTTCCAGTGCTCTCTGTTTATAAAAGTCAAGTCCTGAGGTGGAACAGATGCTGCTGGAGCCTGACACTTGGAGAGGAACACTGCTTCTCCTCAGGAGGCAAAAGAAGAGGGGAAGAGCTCTGAGCTTCAGGCTGGAGGGTGCAGGATCCCAGCCGGGAGGCAGGACTGCCTGGGCTTTGCTAGAGCGGTTGTTGGGTGCCATGGTGTCACACATGGGACAACCCAGCTGTAACTCTGCTGATGGAGGGAGCTGGTTGCAAGGTCACCCTCAGGCCCTGCCTGACAGCCAAACACCCTCTGGACCTCACCTGACCCTCTCCACTGTCTAACTCAAGCCTGCAGATTTTGCTGGACTCCCGGGTCTGCTCAGCCCAGCCCTGCTGGCTCCTGGCCCTGCACCTCTCTGCACCATTTCAGATGCACCCACAGGCACAACTGTAGAGTACAAGACACCCACCAGCAGCAATCCCACAACTCCCAGTTCTGACCTCCAGCCTTTCTGTCCCACTCCTCTTCTTCCCTCCACAGCCTTGAAGTAAAGAAGCCAAGTTCAGCAAGGGCTCAAGCTCTGCTTATCCCTCCTCTCTGTTCCACAACCTCCCCGTGCTCAGCCTGGACCCATGTGTCTCTCCAGCCTGCTGGGCTCAGCAGGACCCTCCCTCTGGACCCCTCTGCAGATGTGACCCCAGGAACACAAGACCTGTCCTTAGGAAATCTTAACCCTTACCCTCCTCACTTACCTGATGACATGAGCAACCAAGAAGCTCTGGATCTCGGGGCTGCTCACAAAAGCCAGCTCGCCGTTGCCGTGCTCCTGGCAGTGCTGCTGGGCCTCCAGCCACTCAGCCTTCTCCACCACCAGCTGGTAGCAGTGGTTATTGCCCGGGAAGACCAAGCCATCAGAGGGACACATGGGGTGAACTGCTGCATGAGGTAGAAGAACACAAGCATGACTTCCTTCCTATGGGCCCACACACCCCAACCCAATCTGGGGAGCGAGGCTCCAGGAATGTCCTCTCCTTCTTGAAGCCCATAAATCCTCTTCATTGTTGAAGTGCACTCTGTGCAGACATCTTCTTGGCCCAGGACAGTGTCAAACACTCAGAGGAACAAGGAGGGCCCAAAGGAGCCATCCCTTACTCCTCACTGGGAAGGAATGGAACGGGAAGGTCCAGGACCCAGTGCCACCCTGTCCTTGCTCAGCACCCACCCAGCCAACCCTGCTCACCTCTGGCCAGCTCTCCAGCCTCTGCAGTGATACCATACGACACCAGGAGGCCAGTGCCACCTCTGTTGCGGATCCGTATGTCCAGACTCTCGTTTGTCTTGACCAGGGAAGGACATTGCAGTTCTAACTGTTGGGGTGAAGCCACCACCTCAATTTCTGCCTGTGCGTACAAGACCTTGGCGCCCACAAAGATGGTGGCAGTGACATTGTACTGCCCAGGTAAGGCATAGGTGTGGACAGCTGCATTTCCAGTGGTGTTGAGAACCTCTGTCTGGTCCCCAAATTCCCACAGTAAAGTGCTGACAGCAATGGGAATACTGACGTTGAAGAGCACAGTCTGGTGTAGGCTGTACCGGGGCTGGAGTCCTGTGAAAGACACAGAGACCTGTGCCTGGAAGGGAGAGGGGACAAGTGATGGGCCACCACAGGCCTGCCTGGACGAATGCTCAGTGCAAAATGGCAAACAACTGGAGGAAGAGTTTGTTTCATGGGCAGCACCACACAAACACTGCCCCTGGGTGCTGAAACCTCCATATTCCTGGTCTTCAGCATAACAGAGGGCACTGCAGGTCTCCTCGGTGAGGTTCCCGGGGTGAACAGATGTGAAGAGGATGACAAGTTCAGCCCCTTCCGTGTAGTTGCTTGTCAGACACGTTATGTATTGAGCTCCTGGGAAAAGAACAGAAGACTTTCTTGCAAACTGACACTGTGAAGCCGTGAAACCCTCCAGGAGACACCACTCCACACTCCTGGGAATGGGCTTCTCCTGGGCAGCTCCTACTCCAAGTATTTCCTCTTTGAGACTTGCCTGGGAAGTCTTTAATCCCTCAGCAACAATTTCCAAACTCTTTATGCTAATTAATGATGACAGAAATAACAAGACAGTCACACAGATTTATGCAGCAGCGACACTCAGTAAATAAAACGGGTCTTTGGAGAGTCTGACAGTCCCATGGGACATGGAGCTGCTGAGTGTGACCCTCAAAGGAGCCCACAGGACCAGCCACCAAGTAAGAACAAGACTCCACAACCTCTCTGGGCAGAGAATATCTTCTTCTTTGGAGATGTTCAAACCCACCTGGATGCAGCTCTGTGCAACCTGCTCTGGGTGACCCTGCTCTGGCAGGGGGGTTGGACTGGATGATCTCCAGAGGTCCCTTCCAACCCCACCATTCTGGGATTCTGTGAAAAGACTGTCCCTCAGCTGTACCTGGGCTTGTTCTGGTGCAGCACATTTCATTGTGTGCTGCCTGGGGCTTCCAGCAACAAGTCTATAACCTCACACACTTGGGCAAAGTGGCACATCAGGGACATGGGGGAAACACCACTGGACCCTCCACCAGACCCACGCTGGAGCTGGGCACTCACTGCAGCCACCTTCCTCCTTGGGGAGAGCCAAGAGCTTCCCATCTCCTCCCAGGAAAAATCTGGTGCAAGAAAAGAGGGCAACGGCCCAGACAGGTTGCACCCGAGGGGCGTGGAAGGACACGTGTGGATGGGTGCACGGGAGGGATGCACAGAAACAACACGCCTGGCTACAGGGAGCATGGACACACGTGTGCACGGACACGCGAGCACGGACAGCAGCGGCCACAACAGCCCTGTTCTCAGAGCAACAGCTCGTTCCCTGGAGGTTCACTCCCCCCTCACGGGCTTGCAAGGGGTGGGACAGACAGACAGGCAGGGCCCCTGCCGCGCAGCCGCAGCCCAGCTGGGACTGCCTGGCCTCCTCTCCAGCTCTGCCCACGCAGCCCAACCATGTTTGCTCCTCTGTTTCTCCTGGTTGCTACAACATCTCCCCCCAAACATCTCAACAGCTCTGGCCTTGCGTGATCTTCCCATATTGAATCCATCCAACTGTCCAGCTTTCTCCACGGCCTTCCTGCAAACGTTGAGCCATTTTCTTAAGAAAAGTCCCATGAGGAGGACCATGGCATGGGAACTGCTCTGCTTTTTAACACCAGCCTGGTCTTACTTCTTCATTCCCTGCTGGTCAGTAACAACTGTCAGTAGCTGGCAGGCTGTCCCCAGCCTACTCCCCTTACACTGAATCACCCAGAAGACAGCCTCACATTATTGCTTCCACACTAACTTAGTTCAAGAGGGAAACAACTAATTATCACTGGGGATAACAGTGCCTTTCACCAAGAGGGCAGTCAAGCATTGGAACAGGCTGCCCAGGGAGGTGGTGGAGTCACCATCCCTGGTGGGATTTAAAAGACAGGTAGATGAGGTGCTCAGGGACATGGTTTAGAGGTGGAATTGGCAGCGTTGGGTTTATGGTTGGATTCGATGATCTTAAAGGGCATTTCTAATCCAGGCAATGCTGGGACTCTGTGATTCTGTGTCCTCAGGTCCCATCAACTCCAGTGAGGTTTCCCTGCTTCAAGTCAGACTGTTAAAATCTTGAGAGAATGAAAGCCTAAGGCTGGAGGTCATGGAGCTAGCATCATCTGATGGCTGCCTGAAGCTTGGTATGTAATGAGTTTGCTGATCTCAGCCCTGGTGTGACTGACTCAATCCTTAACTCATCAGGGTACAGCCACATCCTACAGTTATTTGCTTAATTAGATTCAAACTAGTGACTTGAGGTCTAAAGAGGTCTAAATGTGATGCCCAGTTGCCCTCAGGCCCCTGGTTTCCACTGGTTCAGTCATCTCCCCACCACAGCTCACAGCGTTTCCTTACCACAAGTGGCGTTGACGAACGGGACGTCGAAGAGGGAAAGGTTTGCCACCTCGGGAGGGTGGGCACATCTCGTATCCGACGCCTGAATAACTGTCACTTTTCTGTCTTCCACCCAACGGGGCAACCAGGCAAGTTTGCAGTCACAAACAAACGGATTCCAACTTAAGTTTCTGGAAGAGGGAGATCAGACAGAAGTTCAGGCATTAACTTGACATGTGCTAAGTGTTAATTACAGCAGCGTGCGGATCCCTCACTGCTCCCATCTGCGCCACTCCACCGAAAGCCTGCAGAAAGCACTGCGAGGGGAGTTAATGAATAGGGAATCAAGCAATAATTAACATGATTTTTCTAGAGGCTAGAATTAGGCAAGTACTCCAAGTACTTTTTTTCACTCTACAAATAATTGTTGCAATTAGAAGCAAATTAGAGACACAATCTTATATTTAAAATAGTTTGCTATCTAGCAGCCGTTGGCTGCAACGGCAGCCTCACCAGCTAAGGGAGACTATTTACAGCTCCATTAAAAACCAGAGAATAAAATTGATCTGTCAAAAAAGAAATGCAAAGTCAATGATAATCTTTCCATGTGGCACTTTAATGAAAAGATGGAAACTTTAATTGCAGCTAAGCTTGATCCAAATTACAGCCTTTGGCTTTCAGCTGCGAAGAGGACAGAGATGGAAAGCTGTTTGTTTAGCTGCCGCCAGCTGGGCTGGGCTGAGCTGCCGCAGGGGCTGAGCCCAGGGTTTCTATACTGAAAGCACCACTTTGCCAGCCAGCCCCAGCAGGGACCTCGCCCGGATCCCTTCTGCCTTTTCAGTGCCACTTGTGAGCAAAGACACAGAGCTGCACATGGCTTTTGCGTCCTGTCCTCAGGGTGGACATGTGGCTTTGCTTTTTTCTTGCTGGCCAAGAGCGATCGCGGGGTTAATCCTTTGGCTCATTCAGACCCAGAATGGCTGTTCTGTGCTGTCACTTCATGGCTCTCTCCTGGAAACGTGCACCATCCCCTCCTCACCTCTCATGTAACAGCACAGGTTGTAATTACATCAAATAAAAACCATGATAAGCCTAAGAACTGGAATCACTTAGGGAGAACATCTTCAAGTGACCTGGACACCTCAGTCAGGGTCTCCCGTGTTGCAGGTCAGTGGCCTTTTTGTCAGATGCCCCAGTCCCAAGGTGTGACCATACAAACAGGATCAGCAGGTGTGACCTGGAGCATGGCCAGAGACAAGAACCTCAGCAGAGCTGGTGTGGGAGAGAAGCAGGGAAGCCAAGAAGGCAGCAGCAGAGGTTGGAGGTATTGAGAAGACAGAAGCAAAGCCTGGAATGAGGTTAGGCTTGAAGGGCACCAAGAGGACCCAGGAGCAGGACACAGCTTGAGGAAGAAACTAGAGAGAGTCCAAAAGGCAGTTGCGTGGTTGGGTACATGCCCCAGATCTCCTCAGGACAGCACTGCATTCCACCCCACCAGGAAGGGAAGAGTTATTTCAACAAAGGTCTAAAGAGGGAACTGGGAAACAAAGAACATCAACTTACATTTCACTTAAATTAAATAAATTATCAAATATTCCATCTTCTAATGTAGAAATCTTGTTGTGGCTTATATCTCTGTAAAAGAGGGAAAAGGGAAGTTCATCACGCTGGTAACAACCTCCTGGCCAACATACAGGATCAGCCTCTGTCCCAGGCTCTGCTTGGGCACCAGTTACCCTCTGAGCACCTTGAGTCTCAACAGCCACATGCACATGACAGCAAAATGTCCACTCAGGCACTAAGTCTGGTTGAGGTTGGAAGGGACCTATGGAAATCATCTGGTCCAACGCCCCTGCTCAAGCAGGGTCACCTACAGCGAGCTGCCCACAACCATGTCCAGACTGACGGACAGATGGAGACTCCACAACCTCTCTGGGCAGACTGCTTCCATGTTCAAGTCCAGTCCCCATGCTCCGAGTCCTTCCATGAGTCCTTCTCCTTTTAGGAGATTTTGGGGTGTAAAGAGGCTGCCTTTTTTGATCTGACAGTCCAATTTTTCAAGTTAATCTTCTCTATGAACCATCAGCAAGTAACAAACTCATCTGATCAACAGCTGAACCAGTGAGTTTCCTAATGGCCAAAGCTCTCCTGGCCCACACAGAGCCTGGGCAGTTTTTGGGACAGCTCGGGGTGTGGGAAGCAATGGGACTTGGGCCTTTCCCCAACAAGTGCCGGGCTCCTCAAAGGACCCTCAGACTCAGACCCAATTCCCTCAGAAGATAAGCAGGACTGGACATCACAGTTTATCCTAATTTTCCATGTACACACATCTCGTTCTCTTGCCTTGATCTCCTCTCCATCTAGCACTGCAGCAGGTCAAATCCTGCCCGACTCCCTGAATGCCAGAGGGAATCAGTCATCCACTGGCCTGCAGCTAAACGCCTTGAGGAAGGACTCCATGGACACATCTATCTGGGGCTCGACAGATGAGGCCAAGCAAGAACAAGGCTAACCTGTGAAGCACAAGCACGTGCTGTAGGTACCAGCTCAAAGGTGCAGGCTGAGCTGGAGGGCTGGGAGGGCACACTGTGTACTTACAGTTTTGCCAAAGAAGTCAGGCTTTCGAATATCTGAACATCTAAACCACTGATCTTGTTTCTGGAAAGATCCCTAGAGAAAGAAAACACAATTTTCAGCTTTTGTTCAACTTCATGTTGTCAGTCCTCCATGATGAGACTTCAGAAGAGCCTCTCTCCAAACTCCATCCAGACTCCAGGCTGGAAGGTTTTGGTTAAAGCAGAACATTTCTCCCAGCTGAAGAAAACACCTTTCCCAGCTATAAAGCATTTGCTGCTCAGAGCTTTGAACAATGTGCAGCTCCAGGTGAGGACTGTCACTACACACACACCGCTCTGCAGCGTACCCCGAGTAATTACACACATGACAAATCTATTACTAAAATTGACGTATCCTTTAAAAAAAATATCCAAGTCTGATAGATGTTCAAAGAAGTAATTAAGAAATAATTTAGACTAAAGTAGTAATTAACTTAGAGAAAAAATTTATGAGGCATTTCCAAGTCCATTTCTAGTGCCAAAGAACTCGTAATTAATTACACAATTGATGCGTTCAACTTTTACATTTTAAAGCTCTTTTTGTCTCTCTTTGGAAAAGCTTAAAAGGAAAGAAAAGTAACAAAGACTATTTTCTGTTTAAAATCAGGTTAGATTGTCCTTATGAAAGGAAGAATGTTTTTAAAAAATCTCTAATCACTCCCTCACACACCACCAGCCTTCAACTCATCCAAAGCAGAGCTGTTGCTGTTCTCCACTCCAGCTCTCTCTTTTCACTTCATGTCCTCTTTTTCCATTTTCAAATGTCACTCAGCTCAGAAGTAGAAGTTTTCGCTGATCATTCTACACTCGTTCCCAATAAACTTCACTCTCTGGTTTCAGATGAATCTCCTTTGGCCAAATCCTTCCTTTAGCAGCACCAAAATACCTATTCCGAGCCCATGCAATGGTTATTATCCTTCAAGGATTTCTGGCAGCCGAGGAGGACAGGGCTGGATCCACTGCAGCCGCAGCCGTGCCGTGTCAACAGAGACGTTCTCCTGCCCACCTCCCCTCGTACCTTCTTCCCTACAAGCATCTCCCGTAATTTCTCCTTGCTGTCTCACCTCTTATTTCAATCCTCTAATCAATTAATTCTGGGTTTTATCTGACATTTAAATTTAATTAATCCAAACGAAAAGAATTCTGCCAAACTGGCAGAAAAATTACGTGTGATTCCAGGAAACTCTGGGGATAAGTAAGAGGGATGGATGTCTCTTTAAAAGGTTTGAGTTTATTTTCCCTGATTTCGTTGTCCAGGAGTTCTTTGCCAAGCTGAGAGTGGATTCAGAAGAGTTCACCAGCAACATCAATAAAAAGTCCAAGAAATGTGCAAACTAAAAGCTCAACAAATGCACTTTAAAGGGATGTTAGCAGAAACAGCTGACCAAGCCAGCGCTCTTTTGTCTCAGGGGAGCTGGACAACAGTTAAAGAACACGGAGCATCCCTTGCTGAAGTGACACAGACCACATGGGAGTCACATTCTGCACAGGAGACATGAAAGTCATCTCCAAACCTGTCTCCAGCTCCCATTTGGAGGATAAACACACGAGACCAGCTTGGACTGGAAACCCAGCTCCTGCCAGCCAGCCAGGTCAGATCCTTCCTCAGGGAGGCTCCTGCTCCACCTCTCCTTGAGTATTTTCTATAAACCATACTCCTCTGCCTCTGCTCCTCCTTCCATTACTTGACCAGTTTTGGGAAGGACCAGACCACCAACCAGTTACCTTATGGGAAGACCAACAAAACTATTTCTCTTCTCTGAAATACTTGGAAATAACCCATTGAGTTTTTAGGCAGCACCTCAAGCCCAAGACACAAGGAAATAGTGTTTCAGCTCTGATGTCTTCTCGCTCCTCATCCAGACAAGACAGGCCTCCAAACCCAACCATTCTGCTGCTACTTCATCAGGGTTTTGGCAATTTAAAGAGCCTTTTCAAAAGCACTGCGTGGAGAAGCGAGCGCGTGGGGCAGGGTGAAGCTCTCACCATCACAGATGGCACGATCAGCAAATGGGCACCTGAGCCACGCAGGGAACTGGGACACCCAGTCCCACGCCCAGCCGCCTTCTCTGCAGCTTTCTCTCCATCTCTCCCATCTTGCTACTTCCCAAGTAGGAAATGAAGAACTCAAACAGGGCAACTCAGCTCTTCTCCATCCCTCTGCCACAGTGCCAGGCACGGAGGGGTTGGTCCTGAGCCTTCCCCAGCCCTTTGCAAACATTCCTTGGCCTTATTCCCATTTCACCTCACAGAAAGCTTTTAAACTTCTGAGAAGTGAAGGCTAAAACCCCAAATCCTCGATTCCCAGGGGCCAGCCAGCTCCAAGAGCAGGACCAGGGATGCCTGTGAGTTGGTACCTGCTCCAGGAAGATGCAGAGTGGCAGAGCTGCTCCCACCAGCCTCAGCAAAGAGCTGCTCCCACTCAGCCTCAGCAAAGAGGTGAAACACAGTCACGGGCAGGAACTGCCCAGGCAGTGCTGCTTTCCACACTGTGTTGGACTGACACTAGATGTCACTGCCTAACTGAGTGCAACACACTGGGGAAGCAGCTTCTGGTGACCAGGAGTGATCCAGCCACAACTCAAGGGGTGCAGGAGACCTGGTGCTGTGGCTGTGGCCAGCAGGTTTTGTCCAGGAAGGGTCAGAAGGAGCCGTCCCCCATAAACTAGCAAGTGACAATGCTCAGCCCTCTGATTTGCTCAAGGGCCTGTGCTGCTTTGTGGCCAGGACAGCTTGGGAGGGTGTCAGGCCACTCAGATGTGTGTCTCGGGGGTATCAGCATTGCTGCTGCCCCAGTGAGCCCCCACGCCGTCATGGTGGAAGGGCTGGAGAGGGTTCCTGTGCCTCTGCCCTCTTCTCCTGATAGTAGAACTTGGCTGTCATTCTGCACACACCATCACCAAGCTGATGCTGCCAGATGTTATCATCTGAGCTCACCCATCTACCCTGCACCCACCACTGTCACCCAAAACCAACACCGACCCACAGCCCAGCACGCGGAGAGGCTCCACCAGTGGCCTTCAAAGGAGAATGCTGGGGCTCAGTTCCCAGGCGAGGCTGCTTCAGGGGCTGCGAGATGCTCTGAACCCTTGAGGGTTGTCATTAACCCAACCCCTGACACTTTGTCACTTAACTACAACTCACATGCTCTGAAAGGGATCCCAAGACCGTGACTCTCACGCTCCACCTTCCACAGCCTGAGCTCCTGTCCAGGACCCACAGAGAAGCTGCTGTCCTCCATCCACACCAGGCATTAGATGGCAACCAACCATTCCCTACAAACCAGAGCAAACTCCCTCCCTCTCTTCTACCCCTGCCTTCATGATCTGATGAGGAACTGGTACAAAACCCCACAGCTTTCAGCCTCCCCAGAGCTCCTTGGTGCAGAGCCTGCAAGGGAAGCAGAGCTCCTGTTGACAGGAGAGCTTGGAGAAGCAAGGAACGGTGGCAGATGCCAGTGCCTGCCACCTCCAGCCACGAGTTAGTGAGCTGGGCTCCCAGCCGCCTGCTTGCCTTCTCCCACTGGTTCCTCTCCAACTTGTATGGAAAATCATATCATGCCTTCCTGGCATGGGAAAAATGGCTGTGACCCAAGCTCGGCTGCAGAGAAGAAATAATAAATCAGGAAATACTGAGCAATAAAACCCAAAGCAAAGGCAGAGGGACAGGGCTCAGCCTCTCGGTGCCACAAACTGCCACGACTGTATTTTCCCAGCCCACTGCCAGGCTGGAGGAAATTCGGAGCAGGTTCAAAGCAGAGCTGAAGCCAGCAGAAAACAAGGCTCCCCATTGAAGTGCAGGGCGCAGGCAGACTGCCGCCCTCTCCACCAGCAGGGAGAAAAACGTCGTTTATTTGTGCTCCGGGAGATCCTGAGAACACGCTGTGCTGCCTGGAGGAGGGCAGCTACGGGCAAGGCACAACATCTCGGTCCTGCCTCACTTTCCACATCTGTCAAATGGAGCCACATCATGACAGAGGAGGCTGGGGGGGTGGCTCACTCCTCTGCAGGACCTTGTGGGACCAGGGGCACCAAAACCCACCAATGAGTTTGGTACAGAGTAAGAACTGTGCCTCACAGAGAGAGCTCCCCCGGCAGCTCCCTAAATGCCCCAGCAAACACAGACACGTGTAACTTACACACCCAGCAAAGGGAGATTTCAAAAAACTTCTTCTAGAAGTGGAGTTGGTCATGTGGGGAAGGTAAAGCTTCAGATAAAGGGATATTTGGTAATGAGGGTGTCAACCTGAGCCTTGGGAGCCTTCAGCTCCATCCCAGCTCTGCTACCACCATCCTGCGTGATGCTGGGTGCACTGAACCTCTCCAGAGCGGGGTGCAGGGCTGGCAGCAGCTGGTCTCAGGGAGAGTGTGAGGATGGAGCAGCCACAAACACCACCAATGCCTGCAGACAGGGTCAGATACCTTCTGGGAGTAAAACCATCGAGCACTGGCTGATGAGGGACACAAGCAGCAGGGCTTGGTCCCTTCGTGATGCTCCACGGCCCCGCAGCAGTGAGCCCAGGAGAGCTGGGGGGTTATTTCTGCAGCGCTGTGCTGGATTTTAGGCTTTTTTTGGTTGCGCTGCTGGTTGGGTTTTTTTTTCCCTTAATTCCACAGAACATATACTGTTGAGCAGAGTATAGCACATCTCCGCCTGCCAAGCCTGATGTCATGCTCTCATTATGTCATTTGTGGGCCCGCTCTGCCTTCATTTCACAAAAAAAGGGAGGGAAGGGAAGAGAAGGGAAGGGAAGGAAGGGGGGGCAGTGCTGGGTTGTGCCTTCCCCAGCCCTTTGGCGCGTGGAGCCCAGCCAGAACAGTAATGGGAAAAGCATCCACAGACAGAGAGGAGCGTCTGTGCAGAGAGGAGCCTGTGTGCAGGCTGGGAGAGCCGCAGTGGTTCAGGAGAAAAGAAGCTCCAGGTCTGTAAGCCACAGTAAAAGCAAAGATTTTTGTGGGTCAGTGAAAAAAAAAAGAAAGAGGGCAGCTTGGGTACGGTCACATTTCCATCCAGAGTCTGCACAGGAGTCTCCACTGTGGCTACCAAGGGGCCTGC